AGGCAACAAGAATGAACTGTGTTCCCCAGAGCGTCATGGCCAAGACATTTGTCTCCACACTCACCTAACCAGGGCAGCAAACAACCCTCTTTCCCTATCACGGAAGAAAATTAAACCACTCAAGTCCTGGACAAACGCTGTCCTGTCCCTGCTTTCTTCCTGCCGTATCTTCCTTCTGGCAGCTCATCCAAGAGGCCTCACCATCTGGGGCCAGAGCTGACAGCATGGGGGCGCTCCTCCGGGAACCCCTTGCAGGAGGTGTAACCTCCTCCTGCAAGAAGTCGTCAGGGAATCCAGTCCTGGTAGTGCCATACCTGCCGAGGGGGCCCGGACCCCACCCCAGCCCTGTCTCCCTGCTCAGTGAGCCGCTCTGTAGCTTCCTGTGGCCCAGTGTAGCCTGGGGTTGCAAGGGAGGAGGGGCAGCAGGAGGTCCTGGGGGCTGGCCAGTCTTGCTGCCATGGTTGCCTCACCAAGCTGCCCTTCGTCCTTTCGGGACGGCAGGTTTCAGGAGTGCAAATCCGGCCTCTCAGGCACCAGACAGGACTCTGGTAGTCTGTCTGCCTGGGCAGGAGAGGAGTTCATTGGAAGCGGTGAGGCCAGAAAATCAGGCTTGGAAGATGCACTGGAGGGGGCCTGCAGAGAATGGGGCTGGAGCACAGGCTGGCCACAAGGCCACCGTCACACTGTGGGAAGGACCTGTTCAGGCTTTGAGCCCAGCCCCAGGCTCCAGGTGCCATTGGCACCAGGGGTGCAACAACTTCCTAGCAGCCACTGGGTTCTTCTACAGCCTGTCTGGCTTCAGATTCACAGTTGCGAATGGGAAGAAAGCTGTGTTTGCTTAGGCCGTCTGCCCCTGTCTATGCTGCCAAGGTTCACAAGGATAGCTTCTCCAAGAGAAGAAAAGCATTTAGAAGTTGACTGTAAAGATCGGAATGTCCACTGCAGCATCTCTGCTTGGAAATGCTGTTTGCACCAAAGCAGGGTAGAATCCAGTGACCCACAGATTAATCCAGGGGGAGTGAGCCCCGCCTCCTGGAGACAGGTGCAGATTCTGCCCCTCAAGTGGTCTGAAGACCCCTCAGCCGCAGCCAGACTGGAAGCCTGGCACTGCTCTGAGCTCTATGCCTAGCAGCGCCCCAGGACACGTTAGGAGGAAGCCTGCCTTGGGCCGTGGATGGAGTCAGAGACTCAGCTGTTGGTCCAGGCCTACTCCCAGGTACAAGGCTGCTCACAAGTCTGCAGCTCTTTCCAGAGCCCATCGGCAGGGAATGACTGGCAGCCTGCTGGTGCCGGTCTCTGCCCACTGAACTCCCAGCGGAGGAATTAGGCTGCAGAGCTCTGTCCTCCACCTCACCTCAGGTTTGTGTCTCACAACCCTGTTGTTGTTCCCAAACTCCTCTGAGCGATGCAGCTGGCCAGGGATTAAATTAAAAATCTTTCCTTGGGAGACAGAGGGTAGATACTATTCTTTTCTACCGCTTGAAACTGTTGCCTTAATCCCTGAGATCTATTTCTGCTTGGTGCACATCCTTCTAAGTCTTTAGGTGGGATGTGGGAAGCCTGCGGTCAGGGAGACTGCACTGGCAGAAGACAGCCTCAGAGGCTGGCGACAGCCTGCAGCACCCAAAGCAAGGAGGATACAGAAGAGAATCAGAGACCAAGCTGCTAAGCACCAACAGCTGATTATTTTTCTTTTTGTCAGTCACCAAAGCAGCATCTAAGGAGGCTATGGCTCACCCTCTCAAGCTGGGGGAGGAACAGCTTCCCTGCGCTGAGTGCCTGATTCACTGCGTAACTTCTGCCCAGATGCTCAAGGTGCAAGGACTCACCCTTCCTCCCTACTCTCTCCTGCTTTGTTTCTTCTCTCCCCTTCCCTTCTCTGCCATCCTTCCTTCCTCCTTCCTTTCTCCTCCCCTGCCCCTCTTCTCTCCTCCCCTGCCCCTCTCAGTTTTTCTCTCCCCTCTCTGTGCAAATGTAAGAGCCATGAACATTTGCTGAGTGCCATGGGGCTGGCACTTCTTTAATCTCCCCAGAATTCCCATGAATCCTCTTCTTCTGCTTCTATAGAAGATGGGAATGAGGCTCGGGAGAAGTTGAGAACAGGCTTTAAGGAAAGGCCTAGGGGGCCTCAGGGAGCGGAGGCAGCACCTTTGTTTAACAATACTATGCCCCTTCTTCTAGTAAGGCCGGCTGTGTGCCTCAAGCCAAAAAAGCACAAAGGAAGAGGCCCTGCGGGGAGCCCACGGAACACAGGAAGCAGAGGCAGAAGCAGGACAGGCTCTGGTTGTTGACATAGTTGTGTCCCCCTCCTCCTTCTCTGTCTGTTCCCAGACCTAAATAAAGTAAAGAAAAATAAAACAAAGTACTTTTATGGACCCAGAATATAGTGCCATAAATTCACACCGCCCCAATTTAACGCGTTGGGTCCGAGGACAAACAACCTTTGATTCTGTTGTGTAAGAGGTATGGAGCCAACCTTCCCTCCCCTTCCCCCAGGGTGACGTGGGGTGTCCAGAAACACCTGTGCAGAGGCAGAGGCAGAGGCAGAGGCAGAACTCCTCTTCCCAACAGGGCTGAACAGGGGAGAGCACCTGCATGTGGTGTCAGTTTTCCATCAGTAGTCAATCAATACCCCAGGCGATTCACTTACAAGACACCAGGGCGGTTTTGGTTCAGTTTTGGATGTTCCAGTCCGAGAGCAGGTGGACCCACTGCTTTGGGCTTTGGATGGAAACAGAGTACATGGTGGCCTTAGCTGCTTACCATGTGGCAGGAAGCAAAGAGAGAGAGGTGGCTGGGTCCTGTGGCCCCAATGGTGTAAGCGCTTTCCACTGGGCCTCTTCCTCCAGTAGGCACCTAACCAAGGCCCTAGCTTTAACATCAGGGTTTTGGGAGACATGTGTACCCAAATAACAACAACAACATAACAGTAATGACAGAGTGTCTCTTGGGGCAGAGCGAGTTACCAAATGCAAAGTGACAGCAATGCTTCCCAGGGACCTGAGGACTTGGGAGATCAGTAGCCAGCCAGCCAGCAGGAGTCTTTTGCATCTGTAAGCAGCCCCAGTTGCTGGCTCCAGTGGAGCCACTGCCTAACTTCACATCCCTTTTGTGCTATTTAAAGTTTTAAGAGTTGGGTTACATGGAATTCCTACTCTTCCCCTTCCCCAAGAGTTTGAGACCTCATGCATGCTGCAGTGACACATGCGTGTGTTTATAGCAGCACAATTCATAATAGTGAAGTCCTGAGAACAGCCTGTATACCTACAACAGATGACTGGATACAAATGTGGTGGCTATAAAGAAGGGCATGCCTGCTACATTCATTGGAAAATGGAAGCACCTAGGAAATATAATGCATCTCTCAGTAAGGCAAAGTACAAATAAAGAGAAAAATAAGGGACAGAGGACAGGGGGGTAGGTTTCTTGCTGATGGGAAGGGGTTTAGGAGTCCAGGGGTCCAGGGGTGAAGCGGGAGGGGAGAATAGGCAGATGAAGAAGCATCACGTGCAAGGTCCTCATAACTAGCAACATGGACATCATGCACCATAAGCATGAACTAAGATTAACAATATCAGCAAGAACAAAAAGGAGGAATAGGAAACTAGAAGAGAGAAGGAAGGCACGGGAGAGAAGGGCTTAAAAAAGAAGCAAGCTACACTAGGCACAGTTCCAGCTCCCTGTGATGACTGTAAAACGCATGTACTGCAGACAGGCACTAATAAAACAATTTAAGAGTTGCTTTCCAAAAGTTTTTCAGGAAACCTACACAGGGGCAAGGATAGATTTTCACCGTTCTGAGCTTTAGGAAGCTACTGTTTTCTCTCTGAAAACGTGTTCGTGGGGGGTTTTCGGAAATGGTTAGTGGGAGCCAGGACAGGGAACCTCCTTTACTCCTCGAGGTTTAGCCTCTAGCCTTGGGAACAAGTGTCTGTCTGCTTAGATCTCTACCACTGACACTTTAAACTCAAAGGGCAACGGGTGCAGCAGGGTCTGAGGTCTTCTTGGCTGTCTGTGGTCACATGGACTTCTCCCGGGGAACCCTGACCCTGGAACTCTGCTCCTGCTTTTACCAGGAGTAACCCTGGGACCAAGGGACAGGACTCCTTCAGCAGTACTTAAAAATTGGATCCCTGGGCAAAGTACAAACTTCACTCTTTGAAATCTGCAGTCCTCCCTAGCAGAGGTCTGAACCTGTCTTACAAAAGGACATACAGGCAAGGGGGAACCTCTCATTGTCAGCACCTGTCACTCCACGAGGCTCTGCAAGTATCAGCGACGCCCAGGTTCTCTGGGCACTGCATTGAGGCCAGCCGCAGCTTGCAGGACAGGACCCACCAGGCCCCACCTGGGGAGGGGCCCTACGGCCTCATGACCCAATGGGGTTCAGCTTTCATTCTGAAACAGCCAGGGGGTGCGCAGTCCGGACTTCTCCGGTTCCAATCTATGTGTCCATGTGGACTTGTGGGACTACGCGTGTGTGCCTGTGTGTGTGCGTGTTGTGTCTGGGAGGGTCACGTGCCCATCTGGGTACCTATGAGATTGGCACCGACCAAGAAGGTAATCATTGAGCCCAATGACTGCCTCGGACCAGGCTGCGAGCTGCACAGCTGGGGCCAACTGAGGCGGCGGTCACCTTCGCCGCGGACAGGAGTCCCTGGCGCGCGGTTGGACTCGGCCCGCTCCAGGAGCCCCGGCCGGGCCCGCCCTCGGGAGCGCGCAGTCTCCGCCGTGCGCCCGGCCGGCGCGGTGGGGCAGCTCCCGGCCCGTGACGCGGGACCGAGGCCATGCGCACCGCGCCCGCGCCCGCGCCGGCCGCCCCCAGGAGCCGGGCGCTCACGGCGGCCGCCGCGCCGGGGCTGCAGGCCGGTGGGCGGCACCAGGTGGGGACGGAGCGGCGCTGCGCGGATCTCCTTCCTCTTCCTCCGCTCTCCCGGCGGCGCAGCACCCGCGGAGGTGACTCGGACGCCGGGGGCGGGTCGCGAGCCACGTGCGCGCGCGCGTGCGGTGCCAGGTGCGGCCGTGGCGCCCCCAGCCGGGCGGGGGCGCGGCGCTGGGATCTGTCTGCGGGCGCCCGGCGGAGATGGGAGCGGGCTGCGCGTGCAGGGGCGGAGAAGCGTCGCGGTGTGGGGCAAGTTTCCTGGGTTGGAATCCATCCGGGGCGCCAAGTGCGGCGCAGAGCCGGATGGACTCCAGCGGCAGCTAAGCCGGTGCCCCCCCGCGCGAGTTGGCCGCGGACCCGGACGGGAGCTGCTCTTCGGGAAGACCAGGGTTGCAACTTCGCCCGCGGGCGCTGGGAGTTGGGCCTGGCCGGGGGTGCTCGGGCTCGCGTGCTCGTCCCCGCCGCCTTGGAGTTCCCGGTGCTCGGAGCCACCAGAGTGACCCCGTGCGCGCGGCAGGGCGCCGGAGCCTTCGCGGCGTTCCCTTGCCTTGCCGCTCGATCGCACTCAAGCTGGTGTCATTCTGCTGGGACACCGTGCTAAAGGGCCGTCTGCACAGTAGGGAAGGTTTTCCTTTCAGTGGCGAGTAAGTAGTTTTTTGGCGAAGTCCTCAGGGGAGAGCAGAAACCCAGTATGCGAGAGAGGACAGACTTTGCGCCCATTCCTCCCATGCATGCGGCGATCTGAGCAACGCGGAGCCGGCGGGGCCCTGCGGCTGCCCTGTGTCTGCGATCGGGCTAGGCTGCTGGGCTCTGCCGCGATTTTCTGCGTGGCCTGAAGAGTTTCTGGGAGGAGTTGTGGCCCCGTACGAGCCTCGCCGTGCACCCAGCCTTCCAGCGTCGATGCACGGCCCACCCTTCCCTCTGTGTGATCGCGGCGTCCCCGCAGCCTCCTCGCTTGGAGCTGCCAGCCTTGCCGCGGCTGCGCGCCCCCGGTGAGCTCCTGGCCAGTGGCTCAGAGTCTGTGAACAATTTCAGGGATTGTGGAAACCAGAGCAGTGGGTAAAGCAGGCGCGTAGGACGCTGGAGTTGTACAACCCCCTCGAATGGGATCGCTCGTGCCCCCCCAGGAGGAGGGTAGGGTGCCAGAGAGTGGCGCGTCTGCAGAAACAGCACATTCACAGATTTCATCGGAGCCCGGAGGGAAAGCCTCAAATGTCTGGTAAATAAAGTCTGATTTTTATTGTGTATGTGAGAGATTCGTGCAGATCTGAGACTGTGAAAATAAATGTCAGTTGCCAGGAAAAGAATAGATCAAACAGTTCATTTGCATTTCTGATGAGTTTAGTGAGGCAGTGTTGTAAGCACTTAATACATGGAAGAGAGACAAAGGCTTCTTTGTCAGCGTTATGTTCCTTTTGAATTTTAGGTATGTAGTGTTTTCCTCTCCCTGGCCAATGCTACAAGCAAAATTAATGTGCCTTTCCAGCCCCTGAAAGCTGCTGTAATTGTTAACTCTCTGATATTCGGGCTGAAACGCGCAGCGCCTGGGAGGATATCTCTCCTCTTCTGTCTCCAGCGTGGAGACTTGAGCTGGGGGTTTCTCAGTCAGGAGCCCCGGTGACCGATGTAAAGGGGAAGGCGGCCTGCCGCGATGGTGATGGCCGTGCTGCAGAGCAGGATCCATCCAAAGACAGGAGAGGGAGGGGAGGCCCGGCGGCTCCAGCGAGGCCATGTGCATCCCCAGGCGGGGAGAGCTCTGGTCTTCTGTGGACAGCTCGCTGATGCCTCTGGATGAGCTCTCACCAGGGATATTCAGGTGTGTGTTTGGGGAGCTTGCTCTGCCTACTCGGTGTAAATCAAGGAGGAAAGGAAAAAGGACTCCTGAGTTCAGGGCGGGAGAAGCAGGTGGCAGCTGCCTCAGGCAAGCTTCTCACTCACTGTGTGACCTGGCCAAGTCCCTAACTTCCCTGTACATTTATTTTCACGTATGTAAAACAAGAGCATGTCTCTCTGTTGTCCAATGCCTCTTTCCCTTTTCTCTGCCTTTTAGAAGATCAGAACCCTTAAAGTTAAATCTCACGTATGCTTTGAGGATGTGGAGCTGATGAAGGAGTCTTGGCAGCCTTTTCCTTTCTTCTTTCTTTTGTAACAATGTCTCCCTGCGCAGTTCAGGCTGGTCTTGAACTCACTTTGTAGCCCAGGCTGGTCTCGAACTGAAAACAATCCTGCTGCCTCAGCCCCTTGAGTGCTGGGATTACAGATGTGTGCCATCACACCTGGCCTGGCAGCCTTTCCACACCTCCCTCATGTGTGAAGCACGCCTGACCACACAGGACACAGCTTGGGAGTCACTCTGTGGAACAAGGTTCGGTACTAAGTGCTTCCAAAAAAAGGTTGCAGTCCGCTGGCTGTGTGTTCCACTATGTCGTGGAGTTTTTCCTGCACAGCGTTCCTGGAACAGCAGCTCCAGGACCCCTGGAGGCTTTGAGAGCTGCATGTGAGTGGTGCTTAGTGAGTAGGTGCCACGTGGACCCGGAATAAAGAGGGGAGAGTGTTCTGACTGAGTAGCACTGGCCGGGGTCCACTGTGTTATGGATGGCCGTGGAATGGGCCTTTGGTTAGTTCGGTTGGTGCCACTGGCTGGGGTACTATTTGGCATGGGAAGAGAATGTTTGACATATTGAGAGTTGACTCTGGAAAGACTGCCTGAAGCAGAGTCGGTTTCATTTGTATGTTGGCTCCCAGCTCCACATAAAGATTCAGTTCCTTCTCCTTTCCGCACACAGTAGGGCTCTGTCTCCTTGCTCACTGCAGCCAGGTGCAGCCATACAGCTATCGGGCGAGGGAAGTCATGAGAGTCCACAGATGCCTGCCATTCTCCTCTTTCTCATGGCATGAGCTTCTGAGGTTGCTTCCTCTGTAGACATGGAAGAGGTCCTGGAAAATCCCCTCCACCATGCAGTGCAGATGAGGAAGAGGCTGTTGACATCTGGGGGCTGCTGTTGTTGAAGCACATCCCAGCCTGTGCTGGCCGATGTTGCATATGCAGAATTGAGGCCAGTGCTCGTGCAGGTAGCCAAACTGTCCAGAGGCCTGTGGTGGCTGAGCTCTCATGAATTCATGGGAGTTGAGGACAGGTTGTGAGCGTCACGGTGAGGCAGGTGCTTGTCATTGTGACTAGTCGGAGAGAAGACACAAGATGGTGCACAGCCTGATGGACCGGCTATAGAGTGCTAGTGTAAGAGTTCAGAGGGAGGATGGGGTCCGGTAAACACGCACTGACCAGGGAGGAACACCCATGCAAGCCAGATAGTAAGCAGATGCTGCACTGCAGGCTGGGAATTAGAGCCAGGGCCATCCGTGGGATGTGTCGCCAGGACAGCGTCCTGTGTGGCTGTGACGTGCTGACCGATTCTTCTTACCCCTTTGGGGTGGACACATGTCATGCAATTCCAGCCTAAAGTGCTGGCCCCGACTGCAGCAGGACTATGTGGCACTGTTAGCATTTCCCATGATCTCAGTCAGTGAGAAGCCCCACTCTGACCTGAGGGACGGCCAGAGGAGGGGTTCTACCCGCCCCTAGCTTTGTGTGTGCCTGGACCTCTGGTGGCCCAGAAGGTATGGTGACCAGATTAAGCCTTTCAGTAACAGTAGGGTCTCCAAAACAAAAGATGTAAGCAGGATACTAAGAGTGCACCTTACATGCTTACCTACAAAACTGAGAAAAACCCCTGGGAAAAGGAAGGTGAAAGACCAGCAGGCCACAGTGAAAGAACAAGCAGGGTTAGGCCAGGACAGTGGAGCTAGAGCCCAGGCTGTCGGGGGCATCCGAGCTGAGGGGAGGGACTGTCCTGGGGGGCTGGGTGAGCGGCATGTGGGTAGGGAGTGGGTGTGGGCAGAGTGTGTGATGTGTGGAGGTAGCTGTTAGCGTGGAATTGTGTGGCGTGTTACAGATAAGCAGTGAGTGGCGCAGGTGGTATGAGAGTGGTATTGGTAAGGACGTGCAGTGCAGTGGACTGTCAGAGGTGTGGGTAGGCGGCAGTGGAATGGGGTGAGTAGTGATGTACCTAAGCCGTGTGGGAGGGGGGTCAGTTGGATGCGTGGTTCCTCAGTGGTGTAAGCTGTGGGTGATGTGAATAGTGAGGGTGATATGGAATGTGAATCGATGGTGAGCGGGTGGGCTGGTAGTGGTTCGGGTGGTCCCTTGTGTAGGAGGGTAAGTGTGAGTGCTGTGAGTAGCAGTACTGGTGCAGGGTGGATACTGGTGTGAGCAAGCAGTGCCGTGGATAGGTGGTAGTGGGCAAGGTTGTGAGTAGCTTGTGGGTGGGTAGCAGTGGTGTGGGCGTGGTTAGGTGGTGGGTGGAGTGGTGGCAGTCCGTGGTATGGGTGATTAGATTGTTGCTGGTGGGATAGGTAGCAGTGGTGTGGGCGTGGTTAGGTGGTGAGTGGAGTGGTGGCAGTCCGTGGTATGGGTGATTAGATTGTTGCTGGTGGGGTAGGTAGCAGTGGTGTGGGCGTGGTTAGGTGGTGAGTGGAGTGGGTGTACAGTTTTGCATGTACACAGAGGGGACCAGGACTGAAGGATGAAAGGGCAACTTGTCAGGGAGTGGACACGGCCTCCCTGGGAAACAGTGGCCATTCTCTGTCTCAGGAGCCATGAAGCCCAGGCAGGCCCACATCGGGGAGCCATGAGTTCCCGGGTGGGAGAAGGTCCCAGCCGACCATGCGACCTTCACATCTTCTGCTTTATGAGGTTCCAGGCACTCTAGTACATATTTTAGGGTGACACTAACAAAAGTCCTTATTCTTATCGCCAGTTGCCATTATCCTTTACTAGTAGTTGGTGGGCCTTCTAACCCACGAGGCTCATTTCACCACACAGAGACAGGGTGCTTGCCTTTGGCCTGGCTGTGCTGCTGTCCAAACAGAAGGTGACGAGGATGCACTTTCCTGTCTTCCTTGAGGGTCAGGAAGACCAATGTATTGCAAGAGCTTGTGCCTGGGGAAGAGGAGGCAGCAGAGTGAGAGCAGGAGACACAGCCGTCAGAGTAGAGGTCAGGATGCTGTGATCGCTGGCTTTGAAGATGGAGGAAGGGACAAGGCCAGAGGATGCAGGTGGCCTCTGGGAGCTGGGAGGTACATGGTATGAGGCGAGCCATTCTCCCCAGAGGCTGTAGTGGGAACAAAGCCTGGGGTGCCATGGTTTTTAGAACTCTTTTGGGAATCCTGACTGCCACGACTGTAATCCATGTTGCTTGAGACCACCACATTCATGGCCTTGAGAAGCGAGTGCGGGACAATCTCTAAATTACCGGGATTCGCCCCTTACGTGTGGGGGGCCAATAGAGCTTTGCAACCTCAAGGCACAGCCAAGATCTGGAGACCCTGTCAGACCTTCTGTTTGGTCTCTGTTATGGGAATCCTGAAACTGTGCCCTTTCCAAAATGAACTCTCGGCGGACTGCAGGTCAGGAAACAGCGCTAAAGTTCATTGTAGTTCCAAAGCATAGAAACTACACTGCTGTAGTTTCTTTAAGAGCAGGTAAACTCTACTCCCTTTTATAGGTGCCTTTTACAGATAAGAACACCTATAGGAAGACATACAAAAGATCTAGATTATGAACTTAGATGTATCACATGTGGGAAAACAATTAAGATAAATTAAACCAAAACCTAAGGGAATGGCATGCCGCTGAGGCTGCGTGCCCAGAGCAGTGAGACCATCCTGGCCCAGCAGTCCCCAGCCGGGAGTATCCTTCCGTCTTGACATCTGTCCTCCAGCCCAGGCCGGAGGTCAGGTGAGAGGCCGGCTGGCTGTGGCATGGTTAGCTTAGATGTCTCCGTTGTTTCCCTCTAAAATAAAACGAGGGCAGAGCTGAGCATTAGGAAGCCGCTCTGAAGACATTCTGAGAGATAAACATTTGGAACTAAGTACTGCATCAAAGGTGATATGCTGATAAATACCGTTTCCTTTGCACATTGGATCTGGGAGGCCCTCTCCTGGCCCGCCAGCCAGGGTCAGCGTCCACCTCCAGCCTTGGCACTCGAGGTGCCCTGCCTGGGACCTCTGCCTCCCCCTTTCTCCTCCCTCCTCGCCTTGCTGGGCTTGGCTTGCTCTGCTGCCTCTTTGGGAAATTCATTCAGCCACAGTCCGACTCAGACCTTTGGCCATCTGTTTAAAACTAACTTCCTACCCCGTGTTTTCTGACTGCCTCCTGGT